ATGTACTTTCCTCCCATCAGGTGTCCTGACCAAACTATTCTATGCATTTATCATATCCCCATGCATGTATATGTCTCATCTATCTAAGCCTTCTTCATTTGACCACCCCAATAACATTTAGTCAAGCATACAGATTGTGAAGCTCCTAATTAAAAACTTTCTCCCACACATCCTGTTCTCAAATACAATGTATCTATGTTCTCTCATCAGGGTGAGAGACAAAATTTCACAAGCCAGGCCATACAGACTCTTTATTGTCTAATTTGCATAATTGTTTAACAGAGTGATTTCAATGTCCAAAGTATTTTCAGTAACAATGTATCTGTAGTAGGTTGTGAAAATTAACTGTCAGATGGGTAAAAATATTAGTCAAGAAAGTATGTAACACAATACACACTACTGTTGTTGTTGTTTTTGTCCTCATCATCATTGTTGTCGTTACTTAAATGGATGGGGATAAAATCTATGCAATCTGGTAAAGATAATGATAGTTTTTATCATTATTTCAATCACAATATTGAACAAATATGTGCCAAAAGTGAGCTTGAGAGTGAACAGGAAAGTACATTTCAGTAGTTCATTCTATACAATTAGATACTAGTGCAAGAAGATGACATTTTTCACCAAATGCACTGAACCTCAGTAACAGTGTCTCAAATTACAATGAAAAAAACTACCAAGTGCCTCTGCATGGAACTGCACATGCAGGAGATCACATCTCTGGGGAGGGTTCAGTATAGCTTCTTTTGACCCACACATACACTACTATGTCACGAATTTAACTACTGTAAAAATAAACTGCACAAAGGCAGAGTGGGAGGGAAGTATAAACACACTCTCCTGCTGACAGGTTCCACTTAGTCTAGCAGATTTTATGCAGAATTCCAAGAGATTTAGTTAACTATAAACTATAGACTACAGGAAGTGCTTAACCGGCTACTGCAGAAACACCTTACATAATTTCTTTTGCCTCAGATTTAAGCTTTAATTAGTATTTGTGAAAATATATTACTCTCCATCCAAAGTTTATTATTTTTGGACATATTATTTGCTACTAGTATCAGCAATTACACATCATAGCCATTATGCTGGTGAATATAATGGGAAATAAGATTCCATGGTATGAGCTATCATATGTTAATTGACAATGGTCATCATACAGATGAAGCAACTGTTATTCCTTTTCCTTCCTTAACGCTGTGTCCTGCTCTTTCATGTATGCTTACACACATCTCTCTTGTTTAATATACAAAATCAACTATTTTACCAATTTAAAGTTATTTGGGTTATTTCATAATTCTTTTGCATCCTGAATTTCCCACAAGAGAAATGCATAAGATTTGTTTATTTTTATTATACCAAAGACTTAACAAGTTCGAAAATGATGAATGGGACAAGAATTCTGGCATACTTGCTCTGTTTCTCAAGTTATGAAGTAACAAAGCACAAACATACTTTCTGTTTCATTATCTTGAAAACTGTGAAATTGTATTGAGCTTAAAATATGTGCTGCATATTTCTCTATAATATCTGTTCAAGACATTATTTGCTCCATTTAATATTTATTACTTACTGAATATATTCAGTAAGTTATGCTTGAGATATGCAAATTGATGCATATAACTCTTCATGTAAAATGCCTGTTGTTGCTCCTGTTGTTGTTCTTGAACTCCAATCAAAATTAGAATGTGTCAACAAATTTTAGTAAAACTTCCCAATACAGATCTTCATGTATATCTTTTCCAGTTCTCAAGTTGTTACAGATTAACATGACCTGGTCTGCTAATATAGTCCAGTGAGAATAGTTTTTACTTTCTCATATATATAGCATGAGAAAATATTGTGATTGAGAAAGAAATCAACCTTACAATTTTTACAGATTTACATATTTACAGCATCCATGAACACAAACATAGCATTTCTGGCATGCCATCTGTATGTGCATTTGAATGATTGCATGAATATTATTCATATTTGGAATGTATGAGTTAACCCATAACAGGTCAGTGGCTGGTGAATATGAACATTTTAGCTCCAAAGGGCCTCCTAAAACACAAAACTGCATTTCCAAGGGATCAGTTCTTTTGATTTTGACTGAGAATTTCATTTATTCATGGTGACCACTTCCCTAAATAAAACTGCATAGGTCATACATCAGAAAAATAATGGTATGATCTCGAGTGACCCAAATGTAAACTATCAGTTTTGTTGAAAATGGCTTGACCAATTTTCATTAAGTTGTAATTACCTAAAGAGATGACGCATCAAAATAATAAAGCTGTGATCCATCAAGCATATATTAGAAAGTATGGGCAGTGTTTTTTTTTGCACTAACTTTGTCTGAAACAGCCAATGGGTTCAACAGACAGCCACATTCTGCAGGACAATAGTCTTACAAATCTGCTCAGATAATTAACTTCAATATGCTTTTATACCTCATAGAACTTATGGTTATATTTCTTCATAAATTAACTAGTATGGCATTCTGGCTGATTACATCATCCAGAAATAGGATCTACATTAGCCATTATCTAAAAAATATCAAAAGTAGTAAAATGTTTCATCAATGTTTATGAAAAATTAGCATAGAGCAAATACCTTATCTGGTTATACCACATTAATTTCAAGAATCAAATGCCTTACGAATTACTGAAAGGGGTATCAATGATTTCTCCCATACTCACAAGATCCAAAGGAATATAATATTATATCATATGCAAACAAGAAGATGGCGCTAGCGATAGGCACAAAGTAGTTTAACAAGTTCTCCATTTCATGCTATGCATCAGTTTTCATGGATTGGTTTGTTGGCTCGGTTTGTTGCAAAAGAATTTTCACTTCCCTTTCTATCTTAGTTTCAGACTTGTGAATACTCTACCACAATTTTCATTGCATATTCTCTGTTATCTCCCTTTGACACAGACTGGTCTCAGATATTGATATAGGGCACTAACTTCGCTGAGAAGTGGTGGTCGCTCCGTCGGTATAGTTTGCTTGCGAGCTAAAGCCACGGAGTGAGTTAGTTAGTTAGTTAGTTAGTTAGTTAGTTATAGTTATACTGACTTGAGTTGTCCAGTGATTAAAGTTAGCTCTTTCTAAGGGACCCAACATTGTAGGTGCCACGCCCCTGACTTGAAGACAAAAACAAACAGATTCAGTTTCCAAAATGTAGTGTTCTCTATGTAAGATTTGAGGTTTTCACGGTGGTGACTATGAAGAGAGCAGTCTTCTGGGATGTGGCGCCGTGTAGATGTGGTGTTAACCGACGTTTCAGAGGAACGTATCACCTCCATCTTCAGGGTAGAAGGGAAAATAAGAAAATCCGCAAGCAAAGAAACAGTGAGAGCAGGTGGAAGCAGACTAATGTCAGAAATAAACTCAGCTATATGAGAGCAGGAAAGGAAGGGACAGGTCTACATGGGAAATCAGTGGAGAGGGAGAGGGCGGAGGGGTCTGGGAAGCCATAGCAAGGTTAGAGCAGGTATAGGATATTGTATCAAGGGAGAAAGGCAAGGTTAATAGGAGGGCATTAACCTTTAAGCTGGGGGGTTGCTATGTGAGTCGGTCATGGCCTGTGTAGCTTTGTGAATCTGGCGTCATGTCCCGGGGGTTTTCTAGGGAACAGATGAGAGGTTTCCATGACTTGCTGAGACAAAACCACACTTCTCTCTTCATATTGTCGGGACGGAGTTCAATCTCAATGGCCTCCCTAATGATGCGATCCATATAACAGGTCTTGGTAGCGAGGATGGAGGTATTCTGAAGCTGAATGCGGTGTCCCAGATCAATGCTGTGTTCAGCTATGGCCGACTTGTCCAGATGTTCGAGACGGATGTGCCGCTGATGCTCCTTCAACCTCGTGTCCATGGAGCTGCCCGTCTGCCCAATATAGACCTTTCTGCATTTGCATGGGATACTGTATACACCCAGTGTCCTTAGTCCCAGGCTATCTTTGACCAGCCGGAGAAAACTGGATAATTTATTTGGAGGCAGACCCACTGATTTGATGTTGTGCCGGGACAGCATTCTGCTGATACATCTGAATATAGTCCCAAAAAAGGCAGGAAGGCGACTGAACCCGGTTTATCTTCAGGCAGGCTTTATCTTTGTCTTTATTTCTGACATTAGTCTGCTTACACCTGCTTTCACTGTTTCTTCGCCTGAAGATTTTCTTATTTTTTCTTCTACCCTGAAGATGGAGGCGATACGTTCCTCCGAAACGTCGGTTAACACCACATCTACACGGCACCACATCCCAGAAGACTGCTCTCTTCATAGTGTTCTCTAGTTTTCAGAATACTGGACAATGGACAACCTCCAAACACCCAGTAATTCTATGAAGAACATTGTTGCTAAATATACTCATAATGCTTAAAACATGGCAAGGTTTGCTCTGTAATTAAAACATAATGTAATAACTGAGTTCTTAATTATGTTATAACATTTCCTGTCTTCAGTCTTACATGTAACCAAGGCTAGCAGGACTTAATGCACATGCTTACATATGAGTGCATGTCAAGTACTGCTCTGTGGCTATGTAGGCCATCAGAACTCTTGCTTCCTCACTCTAAAGCATTGGAGAAAAGATTGGTTCAAATACAGTAATCTATTTTAATGGTGACTTCTTAATTATCAATGAAAACTGAGAGTATCTACATGCAAGAAGCATGGCATGAAGATGTTTAGCTTCCTGAGTTGCATATACTTGTATATAGTGTACATTTTCAGGAGAAGCTTTCAAGTTAGCTGACTCAGGTCATGGTTACAAAAATTCATTTGCTGGCTTCTCCATTAAAAGAAACATACAGTCACAAAGTTTGTGATCAACAGACTGACAAACTATCAAGCTCAGTCTGGGACCAAAGCAATGTTTCAATTCCTATGATAGAGACTGTACAGGGGGATAGGGGAAATGAGGAATGAAAGACAGAGGCAAGATGGGGGAACTTGGGTTGGAAGGAGGGGCAAGAGAGAAGGAGCACTGTGACATCATGCCACACCTCCTCCTCTCACTTGAAAGATTTTGCAGGAGAGAAAAGGACTGGTAACACAGAGCTAGTTCTCTGAATACTGCAGCAGTTGCTTCTGCATGTGTGATGTGGCAGTGCGGTTGGTGTGTGGCAAACAGCAAGCAAAACTAGTTTCAGCATTCAGTGTGGTACACTTAAGGCAATGTTCAGTGTTGGTGCACATAAGAAGAGACAAGATAAGACAATACAATGGATAAACAACATAGGAAAACAACAATATGACATATTTTAAATTCTAAATAAACTTAACTTATACATACCTTACCTCTTAGGCCATGTGAAATCAATACATTGTAGGTACTGATAAACAAATAAGCAAATATTTTTCTTTTTTAATTTATGTCTTGAATTCCAGCTATCATATAGTTTTGTACACTCACATAATGATGCAACCTTCATTGAATATTTAATGAAAAATGTGTATATGACATACCGTTAGTATAAAAATAATCTCATGAGCAATATATGTAACTACTTTATCTGTATTAAAAGAATTTACAGTACAATTAAATTCATTATTAAAAATACAAGTTGTAAAATTTTCAAGGTACTTAAATGGTAAAGTGTGTTCTACACACAAAGATTCCATGCATACTGTAATGAGTGCTTGGTGAACACAGACATCTCAGAATAAAATGGTACCAAGGAAGTTGAGTCAAGTAATCCTTCTCACTTTTATTTTGGAGATGCACAGTTTGAATCTTAGTCAGGACTTGAACTATTGTGACAAGACTTCCGTCATTTCCCTCATCCATCCAGGAAGATGCGTGGATAGTACTTCAAATTAGACCACGATCATTTTCTTCCACATCCTAATTCATTATTCATTATTACCTTATTATTCTGAATTACTGCCAGTGTTACTGAATTTCAGATAAATAAGTATATGGTATGTTTCTCATGATGCAAATAAAAAATATTCAACTGCACTATTGCCTTTATTGATTTGGCATTTCAAAATGAATATATCCTTAGTCTGAGGTATTATTTTAATTACATAAAATTTCCTACAACACTGTTTCAATATGAAGTTAAAAAAAACATAACTGCCTTGAATTGAATTTGCTGACAATAATTAAGTTTGGTTACTTTCCAATGTTAAATTTCACATGGCCAAAATATGCAACTGCACTGACTTAGCTGTAGAAAGAAAACATAATTAGATCTGCTGTTAAAAAAAACAAAGTAGTAACATTAATATAACAGAAATAGTCACAGAATTATCAAATAATGATCCACCAGCTGTAAACTATTTTCTATGTAAAATTAAGCATGTCACTAGCATTTGGTTATAGGACCTTAAATTCTTGTACAGGTATTTGCTGCAATGTAATCAAGAAGTACTGGTAATGTATAGAAACTGGGCAAAGCATAGAATATATTACATTGAAAAAGAAAATTTAATTTGAGAATAGTGCTGTGTATATGACTGTTAAGATGGAAGAGAAATTATTTTAAAAGGCAAACAAATATTGTTTTGCTTATTAAATAAGCAATAATAGGGCTAAGTTTATGTCTTACGTTTTCCCCACAGATTGAAAATTTCACAAAAAGGAATAATGTCTAGATTAATTACATAAGGGTGCTAATGAAGTACTGTCAGTAGAGCAAGCATTTATAAAAGCTGTAAGAAGTAAAAACTGAACTTTTTAAAGCACAGCATTTGATACATTAAAATTGTATAATTTCATAACCATAAGCTTACAGATTAATAATCATTCCACAATTTTTAATAATGAGAGCGTTAAGACGAGATCCTGCTTGGTATTCTGGTTTCTGAGCATGTAAATGTGTGCCACTACCACATATGGGAAAGGTGCATACATCCTACTAACCTATTCCTGCAGACCCACTGACCCAGATGACTAACAGGGAGTTGGCAGGTAAAAAAAAAAAGAAGAGAACCACATCTCCACTTTGATGTCTGACAAATTAGGCAGACGTAGAGGACTGGGACACTCATTTAAGAATTTTTCTTCCATGTGCAGGGATGTACAACAGCCAGGAGAAGCAAGAAAGTTGTCAGCCTCTGTGCATGTCATTCTGAAGTCACACTCAGAAACAAGCTTCATCTGACTGACATCAACATGTGACTCGTAAGCTAATAATTTATAACTGTAATGTATGTTATTTGTACAGTAAGAAATTAATAAAACAAACAATAATAGTAAAATGGATATATTTCCTGTGTGTGAATTTAATCCCTCATGCACTGCAGATCAAATACATGATAGTATGTAAGAATAAACTGGTACAAGATGAAATGTATATTCTAGCAGCAAAAATGAGACAGATTTACATAATTTTAACTTCTTCTGGGGACTAATATGCATGATAAATTATGATGCCTGTGGCAATATGCCATAACTGACATGAAGCCAAGTTGACTTTAATGTCCCCATGTCAAGCTCATTCCAAAATACCACGACACACAGTTAAGTGAACCGAACTGCTTATAACGTAATGACTCACAAAGTCTCTCCATCAGGCAAACAAAGTTGGCAGGAGGGGAGGACGGGGAAAAGTCTAAAGAGGAGGAGCTAGCATGTGACTCAGAACTACATGGCCTGCCAGAATGCCTACAGAAAATGACACCCTTTAAACACATTCTAAATAAACCAAGATGTGATTCATTCTTACACAAATGTAGTTTCTTAAGAGTACAGAGACACCAGTGCATACTAACAGTACATTCAAGAATGCCATATATAACATCACAAACTACTATTAAATTGACTGGATTTTCTACCACATTTCTGTATGAAACTGACCCATATTTTGAAATAGACCAATTTTTATTCTGATAAGCCTCACCTATCTTTTGATTCCAAAGCTCTTCCTGCTGAAATTAAATCTATTACAGAATGACATGGTTCAGCCTTTGAAAATCAAAGTGTGACCTATGATATCATGTATCCATATATAACAGCATGAAAACAATAATTTATGGGCTTTGTAACCTCACATTTCAACCAGTGTAGTTATAACATAATATACTGTGGAAATAATAAAGTTAAGGGGCGACAAACATGTTTATATCATGTATAAATACAGATATAAAAGTAATTCCAAGGTTTTAATACTTTATATAACTTCACTAATTTTGCAGTTATTATTCGCCAACAGAGACCCTACCAGTAAAAGAATTACTTGTGTCTTTAAGAAGTCTATATACATAAGTATGAAACAAAGACTATCTTATGAGGGAGCCATGTCAGTTTGTTTGTATGTCTGCCTAGTTATGAGTTTCCTTTTCCACATTACATGGTAAATCTTGAAGAAATTAGGTATGGCAAGCCTGCACTAGAAATTATCTTAAATACAGAAATTTGGTTATGAGTTACAAGCCCCAGTAAGATAGTCTCTTTGCATAATAAAACATTTTTTTTTAATATTTTATAATATTCAGCTTCAGGAAAGAGAATGTCAATGGACACTATACACCTGAATTTTTCATTCTTACTAATAAATATGAGTCATATGAAAGAAAGTTTCCCACATGTCAGATGTGAACACCTCATGGTAGAAGTTTAAATTATGGATCTACTGCTGACTTGTCTACTAATTTCTCTGATGAAATTAATTATTTTGATGTATTCCTGAATTTGAGTCACATTACTGTATAACAATATTTACCTCTTAAGACAAAATTCAATTCCTATTGAAACTACAGCCAAAAAATCTTGCACAAATTCAAAACAAATTTTACAAATTGGAATTAAACCCATGGCTTTTATAGGCATATTTAAGAAGTGACTGTATATTTACATCTAATCTGTAACCAGCTGGTTTTTATTTCCCATACTTCAGATATAAGTTTCTGAATATAAATACTAAGATACTGATGAAGTGGATATAAAACAGAGATACTGAGGCTAGATGTCCTTTCAAATACTCCATACAGGGGAGGAGGGAGAGATAAAAATAACTTATCTCAACATTCACAGTGAACCATACAAAGTTCTCCTCTTATACCTAAATTTTGGCAGGACAAACCAATATTCTTTTATTCCCCATATTCTGAGCAAGGAGGACATCCTCATATTTTCACGTGTATATTTATATGAAAAACTGAACCATATGAAATTGGTGGGGGAAACTGTCCACAGAAAAACTGACAGCTCAATGACTTTTTCAGTTAACAAATCAGTATACATTGCATGTTTAAAAAGAAAAATCTGCAGTAGACAGCAAGAAATATTTTATATATTTCTTCCAACACCGCTTGGTAAATGGAAAAGTCCTTCCATTTCACACAATAAAGTTTGTGATAAATTAAATTATTTATTTATTTACCCTTTTAATGGAACTTCATTAAACACACAACAAATAATTAAAAGTTTTTCTGAATATCCTAGCTTCATGACTGAAATCTCATATCCAAAATTTTTGGAGGGTGCTGTAGTATACATATATAATTTCATTATCTGGAAGAATAAAACAGAAACCATGTTCTAAAAACTTCAATTTATTGAAAGAGTCAAAAACTATCTTACACCCAATTAATATCTGCCATCAAACAATTTCACAAAGTGTTAAAAGAACTGTTTAATTCGTAAGGAAATGCATAATGGCATTCTAGAATTGTCTTTCCCTGAAACGCATGCTACACAAAATTAAATCCAGTCTGAGATCTCTCTCAAATGGTTAAATGGTCCTGTTTTTGAGTTCTGATCCAGGCAATTAAAAGTGTTCAAAAGTTCATTGGATATTGTGCAGGATGTTTTTAGCTAGATTCAACAGGAATATCATTTATAAGATATGAATTTTCAGTTGTAATCCCTATGATAAATGTAAGGACTTCCTTATTTGCGAAGTCAATTTATAATAATTAGAAAACAGTCATGAATCTTGTCATAAGTTTTCATTCAGAATGTAAGTTTGGCTCAGTTTTAGATAAACATGTCTTCCATGCCAGGACTGTGCAAGGAAGGGAAATTATGACAGAATGTCAGAATTCATAAATAACCAGATAATACAGAACAAACTTGAAAGAATACATGAACACAATAAGCTCTGAGAGAATTCAAAAAAAAAAAAAAAGACTTCAAGATATCAACCAAAAAGTAGTAACAGTGTGGGGAGTCCTATGAAATGACAGAAGGATTCTATTATGTAATATTCATCTCAATTGGTCAAATATTGATGATGATGGTGGTGGTGGTGGTGGTGATGATGATCTACACAATTTTTATTTTACTAATTAGTACTCTTAATTACATACATGAAAGTCAAACAGTCGTGTATTAATCTCAGCTGCAAGTTTACTGTATAACTGTTGTGAAAAATGTCTGTTTCTACAGTGCATGATTTGTTTTACTGTCTGTCATCATCTCTACCACAATCGATAGATTGATTTATGACTGGTGGTCATGGTGGTGGTGGTGGTGGTGGTGGTGATGATGATGATGATTATGATAATGATGACTGAACTACAGAAGTTAGAAAAATATCTATATCATTAAAGTGCAAATACTTAAAATATATCATGAACTCATGCAGTTGAGATTCTGCCACCTTTCTTTGCTCAAGAAATTGTTAGTGGATGCAAAAATATCACCAAGATTATGTAGCTGATAAGATCTGAATCAATCAACTGCTATTGCTATATGTGTATAAATGCCTAAGAAAAACGAACTAGCAGCAGCAAGCAGCAGTGACTTATGTAAACAGAGATACTCCTCATTTTTAGACCCTTAAACCTGTGCAACAAATTATAACACACAGTTGATAAGTATATAATTTTACTATTCTACATGAATTTTTTAAACCTTCCTGTACTGTAATCAGTGACCACTTTAATGAATGATAAGTCAAACTTCAATGTTATGCTTCTCTTTGAGGCCAGAAAGATACAGGATAAAATACACACAAATATTTCTGCTAACTATCCCTCCAGCTTTACCATTTTTAAATACTACTTGATACTGTCACCCTATATTCAGGCAATTAAAAATTCAACATTAATTAATTAATTAATTAATGTCACCCTATATTCAGGCAATTAAAAATTCGTATGATTTGTGGTGGAGAACATGGAAATGAGAACCTGTTTTCCTCTAATCATCGACGCACAAGTGCTCACAGACATCTATAATCGTCACTGAGATGTATGACAGATCTAACAAATCAGCATGCTATCACAGCATCAGTCTTCAATTATGATCTTATGTCTGACCTGGTACTTGGAATATGAAAATTCAAGTTGGTAAGTTAACACAATACATGATGGTGATACATAACAATTTTCTCTGCTATGGGAGTTTTTATTTTCATTTCATTTTTATTATGATAGTAAAATTATTTTGTCTAAGTAGACTAGAACACACTGCTGAGGTGCTGTATATATATGCTTCCCCAACAAATTCTTCAGCAATATTAAAGTGGCAAATATATTTCCCATGTATTATGACAGGCCCAAAAAGTTAAAGAGTGTGGGACATACCTGCTATAGACCTAATTTTTCGAAAAATAAATCTGAGATATATTCTTTGTAAAGGTTAAATTTCAGTGTTCATTTCATAATGGAAGTCAGTGAACATACAGAAAAGGCAGTATTTTAATTACTGACTTCAAAGTATAACATTAGCTAAAGCACAACTTAAAATGTTATAAGAGTTTTGTTACTTCCAGCATAAATTTTTTCACATTATTAGCATTCAGTTTGGACATATTTTCTTTCTTACTCACTCACAAAATTGTCTGGCTCAATAAAAAGGTTTACAGATTGAAACCAAAATTAAATCAGAACTTCTTATAGTAGCCCTAAAAATTAAGAGCATCATAATTCAGAATAATAATCACTTTTCATTTTACAGAATTTTCATGGCAAAACATTTAGAACAGCCATGTGTGGTGTTTTGTATTTATGTTTAATGCACAATACAAAAACCATATATGACAATTTACAATTTTAATGTTTGTTTTTAATGCTTTTAAAAATAGCCAAAGTTTGCAAATCCTATTCTACAGTATTGTTGGCAAGCACCTACACTGACATTGTGAATAAAAATAATGGGCACATTCCTATTATATTAGTCAAAACAGACAGAGGTAATTCTATGTAATCTTAGATGAAAAATGAATCTTCATTGCACCCATTATACTCCAGTATCAAAATAAAAGGATTTTAATTAAAAATTATAATCTGCTTGACATTTAACATTTTCCATTCTAAGTTATGTTTTATCAAATCTTTTATTACCCCTAGCACATTTCCCTTGTCCCAGCTCTGAGGACAGGATATTATAAGATGCTGATTCATTCCTAGGTAAAGCTATCAGATCTCTAGTTCAGTATCTCTTGAAATATATATACAAATCCTGAGAAATCACCAGTTTAAAATATGTGATTCTATGTGATACACAATATTTATTCTTGAGCTTTACTTCACTATTCAGCAGTGACAAGTTCTGGGTAGCAGCCTTAATATGAAAGAGTGGAACATCAACCAGGACCTGAAATTTCACTCTTATGCTTGTCAGACACTAGTGTTAGATGCAATGATGTCTTAATAGTTTGGAATGAAAACATCCACTCCACACTCCTTATATAATCTTTCAGTTGTGATGGAGAACTGAGGAAAACACAGACTAAGAAATAAACAGGATACTTTGCTATGTTTACCTATTGATTCAATACATTTTTTCTGGATCTAACGCCCCATCTAAGGTTTTTCATCTGTATCAGTGCCATGGTGTCTGAAAAAAATGGACTAAGACAATGGGTGCCCAGCAAAGAGGAGAAACTATATTGGTATATATATGCCTCTACATTTCTTTGCTGTAAGGATTTGAACTGGGCTGGAGGTAGGAAGGTAGACAGAGCAGCTCTCATGCAGATCTCCAAATTTAGCTGCAAGTAATGTAACACTAAGCGTGGCAAGAGGTTGATAAAAATAACTTGCTCCATAGCCTTGTAGCTTGTGACATCAGAGATTGTGCACACGGAACCATCCAGCAATGAATACGGTATAGCGAAAGGAAAACAGCTAGGTATACAAAAATATTACATTGATTGTGAGAATCATGGTGCAGGTAACAAGTAGGATTACTCGAGCAGGTTCTGAGAATTTGTTTTTAGATATTTTCTTTTGTATGGGATGTTTTGAAACAGGCAAGGAAATGAAAGTCTTGAGTTCTCTTCAGTTATTCTGAGAAACCCACAAGGTTTTTAAAACCTGAATATCATAGGATATGCTTTTGGTTTCAAATTGTGTCAGTATTTCTTGTAATTGCTATATTTTATTGCAGCCTTTAGTAGTTTATACATGAACATAGCAATAACAAATAATGTTAGAGAAACACAGTTTACAGCTGGGGAGTCATCAAAGTTCTGCCACTATTGCAAACTGTAAGTTGCAGCAACACAAAGAATAAATCACCAATACTATCAGTTAGATACACCACCAGCCTTTAAAGCTGAATTCATAGACGAACTGTTTTTCAATAAAAAAACTTTTTATGACACACCTGATTTTAGTAGTTTCCCCAAGTAGAAGGCAATGATTAAACACAGCTGTTCCTATACTACATCATAAAATTATGACAGAACTCTATAAGAATATTTTATTCATTAACCACAGTTAATTAATGTTGACACCAATTTTATTACTTAGATAAATATCCTTATGTAAAAGAATATTGTACTAGAAATTAATATTAAGCAAAAATACAAATCTGAATTTATCCAAAGAGCTAGAACTCTATAATTGTGTGACAATGACTAGAATCATAGCATATATTCATAATTAACATTTCTGTATAAAAACTGGTAATTGTTAATCCAATGTCAACAGGACAAATAAATGGCTAAGATATCAAGAAGAGATATTCATTCATAAACGGTTACTGTAAAATAACATGGAATCAGTCAAGTTTGAAGTGAAACTGGTGTCTAGTTCCACACACATTAAAACGTTCATGATCGCATTAAATTTTCCTCATGACTGAAAATGAAGTGCAATGAAATGTAGGGCATTTTATGGGACACATAATATACTTATCATTTTGCCTCAATTCGTTTTTGAACGTATAGCACAATTTACTCTGAATAAGGAACATTAAAAATTTAACAATTTAATATCATATATTGCTTCTGGCAGAGAATGTTAAATTCTCTCACGTCCAGCAGTAAGGGTGCCATCAATTACATAACACTTCAACTAAATATAACTTTGGGCCAAAAGTCCTTTATTACAAAGTTTATGATTTCCCACATATTTAACATCATTATAAAGATCTGTTTTAACATCTGATATAAGACCTCATGTTTTATAGCTTTTCCACCAATGCTCTTGATGTGAAAGGCACTTCTGGTTTAACAATACCAAATAATTCTGAGAATGTTAATGCAGTGTAATAGGCATGCATTACCCACAAAATTGTTTTGTTTCACACATAATAGGTTCATTTAAATGTATCTCATTAGCGCATGAAACTAATTCTGTGAAAAGAAAAACTATTACTTATGTATCAGATACATAAAGTAAAAGTAAAAGTAAAGTAAACAGGCCGTGGAGGCCCATAGGGTTGTGAGATGTTAAGGTTCCCACATTTTGTAGACAATCGGCTCATAGATTGTGGTAAGGTTGTCAGCCTTACACGCCTGCCGCCCTTTACCCCCAAGAACATTCCAAGAATATTCCTGGTGTTCATTTCTGTTAGAGGCTGAGTTGACCCCAGGCCCATAGTGCAGCTGGAATTGAAAAAAATCCAATGACCTCATCGGGATTCGATCCCTTGACCTTCCAGCTTATAGCATAGTGATGTATCAGATACATATATTTAAAAAACTATTATCTTCAAAATTAAAAGAAATTTCAATTATCGCAGTACAGAATCAATGTACTGTTTTCAAATTACATAAAGACAATGTCAAAAGATGATATGAATTGCATATGACCTTCTGTGTTCTTTCATGACAGATGTAGTTTCATGTGCACATCAACAAAATTGATAAACATGAAGCTACGCTATGAAACTGAACGAACACAACAACAAATACTTTCAACAGTAATGTTAAGTTAACAAAACTCTCATTAATTCTTACTTTTGACGATAAGTTGGGCAGATGTCTCCACCTGGCCGGCAGAGTTGGTTGCGCGGCAGGTGAAGGTGCCAGAATCTTCCTCATAAGTGGTAGCAATGAGAAGCACAACATTTGTGCCCTCATGAATCATCTACAATAGGAACACATCATCAATCAATTACAGTTTCACACATTTTGTAACAGGAAAAGAAACTGCAATAGTATATTCATAAAATAGACGTTTAAATGCATGACTGATCAAGTGTAAGAATATACAGAACAGGTAATTTCCTTACCCAGAATTTCTGACATGAATGGGGTTATATTGTGCAGGTACAGAAGGAAGTATGCTTAAGGATTATTCTATTTATCAATATATTTAGTTGAAACATAGCACATCTACCTTAGTGATATAGATAACATATTGTCATAATATTTCTGGACACAAAGGAAAGCAGGTGTCTGTGCATGAGTTTACAACATCTTACACCCAATTTTCATCACTTTCAGACTCTTCTTTTAATCCATGTTATAACAGCTTGCTCCAGTATTGACAGTTTTATATATAAAATATTGTACATCATGAAAAGGGACAGTTGACAGAATGCAATATAATTTTGATTATAGCCTGTACATATTCCAACCTACTTTTAATATTTTTAACAGATCTGATCAATGCATTGTCAGGCAACAGCTCTGTAAACATGGTACATTATGCAACAACAGAGGAGGCTGCGTTTCCTAGGTCGTCCGTGCCAAGCAACAGCAGGAAAAGGAAGAAAGCAGTCTTCTGGGATGTGGCATTATGTAGATCTTGTGTTAACCGACGTTTCAGAGGAACGTATCACCTCCATCTTCAGGGTAGAAGGGAAAATAAGAAAATCAACAAGCGAAGAAACAGTTAGAGCACATGGAAACAGACTAATGTCGGAAATAAACTCAGCTATATGAGAGCAGGGAAGGAAGGGACAGGTCTACATGTGAAATCAGTGGAGAGGGAGAGGAGGGAAGGGTCTGGGGAGCAGGAGCAAGGTTAGAGCAGGTATAGGATATTGTGTCAGGGGAGAAAGGCAAGGTTTATGTGAGGGCATTAACACTTAATCTGGGGGGGGTTGCTATTGCAAGTCGGTCATGGAATGCGTGGCCTTGTGAATCTGGCGTCATGTCCTTGGGGTTTTTTAGGGAACAGATGAGAGGCTTCCATGACTTGCTGAGACAAAACCAGGCCACAAAACAAGGTCATGCAGTCCATGACCCA